ATTAGTTATAACAAGCCTGCGTGCTGTTAGTTGTTTACCCGTTGACGCGAGCGTGGGCGTATTTACGTGCTGGTGATGAGGGAGCTGCGCCTGGAGCTGATCGACACGAGAAAGTCCGTGACCTCTTCTTGGTGACGTGGTCTGTTTGGGTACATAAGGCCCCGACAACAATCCGTTCGTCTGTTTTCTGTATTGACACACGGACAGTGTAGGTCCTCGTATAAATCGTTGTTTTACGCGGCGAGTTGGTTATGAATTACACGCAAGAGGGAAATAGACTCCTTCAAGATGTCTCTTCTGGTTGTAAAAGCAATTCCAGCATCGTTGTCGTCGTCATTTTTTAGGATGGCCGCGATCTGCCTAAACTAATAGCAGCTGCATGGCTGCTGGCGGAGCTCGAGAGTAGAGCGGGATGAGTGGGTTCTGTTAGTGATCGGTGCGCGGTAATCAGCGAGTGTCATTATCTCGTAATGTAAACCGACAAGAGCATCAGGCTTCTGATCAAAAGGTCGCAGGTTCGAGCCTCGGGTGATGCACCGCTTGGGGTTGGGTATGGCTGGCTGATGATTGCCACTGCAGTCTCCATTGTCTTTGTCGTCAATGCTACCGGACAAAAGTGTATTATTCCCCTAATATTTGTCGCTATCCTTATTCCGAGAGGCGAGTCCCGATGAAGGTGATGATATCCATGTTGTATCGGGCCAGTTATTGGGTGCCCAGAACTACTCTGAATTCCGATCGGCTGGTCACTGTTATGGAAATGATTGCAGAGATTTCAGACTGCCAAAGTAAGAGAAGTCGCCCTGGCGATAGGGGCGGATGAGGGGTACATTTCTCCTGACTTTACTACCCAAGAGGGGTGATTCCCGGTTACTCCCACCTGATATAACCCGCTAATGCGTGACTGCTGTCTGATAACAGCCTTATGGGGCCACGGATGAGGGTTGGATGTAAAAATAGACCGTAATTATCGACTTGCACAGGAAGACAATCGGTAAGATGACCAATCAATCAAGGTGAATGCCCCGCGCTGGAAACCCCGTAAACATCAATGAAAATATTTTTTCCGCTCCCAACCTTAATTGGCCAACAAACTAAGTAGTTAGAAATTTTCTGCCTCCAATACAGTCGTTGTTTGTAGGTAATAGAGACGAGAAAACTAAGTTTTCGTCGTTGAATCACTACGCTTCTTGGTCGTAGTCCACACGCATTACCCTGCCAACGGGTTTTTTATCACTTTGTACATGGTTCTCACTGTCGTGTCGTGTCATACAAGACAAAACACTCTTAAAGTACAATTAATTCAAAAGTAAAACGAATTCAGTTGCACTCTCTTGGCAAAAATATACTTTTTTATTTATCAACTTGTTAGAGAGCAGTTCTTTACACACAGGACTTTTCAAATTGGCAAAGTCCTCTATCAGTTGATGCACTCGTTACAAAATTTTACTGTTTCGTATTTGTAGGCTGTAGCTTGATCAAATTTTTCTTCGCGCTAATCAGGTGATCGTCAGCTAGGTTTCTCATTCAATCTCTGGGCGCAGATTGGCTTTTATATATTCCTTGTTCATAACTCAGTGCCTCCTTGACTTTCGGCAAAGTCGCGAAGCAGCCGCAGTGGGTCAGCCTTTTACTTTTATTTTTGTCGTATAGGAAACAGAAAA